AATAAAACAAAAATCATAGCTTAGCTGCTCTGAATATATACAATATTTAAAGTGCTGTCATAAAGAAGATGCTGTGAATGGACGCTGGTGACTTTAATGGCAGAGGATATTGTGAACATCTGCGTTCTCAAAGACACTCGTCCCCTGGGAACGCTCTGAAGTTTATCTTGGAATAAAAGTTTTCTGGAAGGATGTATTCTCATGAACGACGTGTCATCGACTAGATCTCAGTTGTTAAAGCGGCGCACAGATTTCCCATGAGGCTTTTCAGAGCGCCTCTATTGATACGAGATGAAATTCAGCTTCATTTGTTTGTTATCGTTATATATCTTTGGCTTTATCTCCTGAATGCTTAAATGGACTGGGACGGAATGTTGAATCTGTTGACGTTTACAGTTTATTGTACTCTGTTTATTCTTTCCCAAGATGCAACGAAGAGTGTTAATTCAACTGACGATAAATGGAAAGTTCCTAATTGACACAAATACTACTAGTTTCTCTTAGTCTTAAAGGAACACTCCACATTTTTTGGGAGAATAGGCTCGTTTTACAACTTAAATAGTTTAGTTTTACCTTTTTTTTCACATCCGGAGATCCCTTCAGCCAGTCTCTGGATCTGTAGTAGTAGTAATTTTATTTGACATGGACATCACAATTACACTGGACAACCAAATGCATTTGTTTAAGTGTTTTAGCAAACTTGCTAATTCCCAACACCTGTCCACAGGAGGCTTAAAAAATGACAAAATGGAAATATAATAAATACATATACACAACATTATAATTCTTTACATAAAATTACTGCAGGCAAAAGCAAAGGCGACATGATCCAACCAACCAACTAACAGTACAGTATTTGTGCAAACACTGCTGTTTTGTTTTTAACCAGTTTTTAAGAGCACTACTAAAAATATTTAGATTACTTTCTGATTTTAAGCTAACCGGTAAATCATTCCACAGTTTGGCTCCCTTTACAGAGAAGACAGATTGACCGAACGAGGTCTTACACTTTGGCACTAGACAGTCACCGTTAGCAGTTGCCCGTGTAACTCTGTGGGAGGTTTGATGCCGATTGATTAGCTCAGAAAACAGGATTGGAACATGATTATTTAAACATTTAAAAACCAATTTAAGATAACTAAATTGAATAAAACTATCAAAACTAAAAAGGTTATGTTTACATAAAACATCACAATGATGCCATCGCATAGGCTTTAAGTCCATAATTTTAACTGCTTGTTTATATAATGAGTCAATAGGCTTCAATGTTGTTAAATAGGCTTGTGACCAAGATGTAATGCGTCAAGTGAGAGTATATCATTGTGTGCATGTATAATTTTGCAGTGTGAAATGTTAAAAACCTTCTAACAAAACGACAACAGTTTAGACTTGGCTTAACTTTCTTACTCAAATTTTTAACATGACTATCAAATTTTAAATTGATGTCTAGAGTTATGCCAAAATACTTAAATTCTTTCACTTCTTTAATAACCAGCACCTCAAACGTATCCCGTACAGGCCTATTTCTTATAGAAAAACACATAGAAACTGTTTTCTTGACATTCAACGTTAAATGAGACCGTTCAAGCCATCTTGAAATGTGTTGTAAAGCCTGGGTCAGTTGCTCGCCTGCCCGGCACAGTGTTTTGAAAGAAGAACTTTTAGTTTAGATTAGCATAGATCATTGAATCGGATTAGACCATTAGCATCTCACTTAAAAATAGCTGCGTTTCCACTATCACGCCTACAGCGAGCGAGCCAGGGCAAGTCGCATTTCCATTGTCACTTGCAGGGCCTGATCGGGCCAAAGCAAGGCTTCCTCAGGGCCAGCGGCCGGCTTTTTTTGGCCCGCCGAATACCTTGGGCCAGTGTTTCTCCTCAGAAAAAAATGTCTCTCCAAGTACCACCATGACGAGCAGTATTGAAATACAGTAAGCACAGTAGGCCCAGTAAAGAAGCTGCATCTCTGTAAAGTTCAAAAACGTGGCAAATTAATCCCTATTATTAAGAGCATTTATTATTATCAGCCACTTTAAACATTATAAATACTTTGAACATTAACACTGTACTGTGCTTATATGTAAAAAAGAAAATAAATAAATAAATAAAATGTCAACGTTTATCTTAAAATGTGCTTTTAAAAGTTAAAAATGGTAAGCTACTGTTCTTTAAACTAAAAAAATAAAAAAGCTCCTGTAATTAAATGTAAAGTAATAACATATAGTGGTAGCCTATTCATCAAAACTCGTGGATGCTGCTTGGACCTTATAATATAGGCTATAAGTCATCATATCCATATATAAATCATTTTTGATAACTTTTAAAATATATGTAGCATGTACATATGACATTTTCCCAGAGATGGGTTGAGAAAGGCATCCGCTGCATGAAAATCTGCTGGATAAGTTGGCGGTTCATTCCGCTGTGGTGTCCCTGGATTAATAAAAGGACTAAGCCGACAAAAAAACTCATGACATATTTGATTCCTCCGCATACCACTGGAAAGAAGCCCACGTACCACTAGTGGTACAAGTACCACAGTTTGAGAACCACTGCCTTAGGCCAAAGAAGGTCAGCTGGGGCTTCGGAGCGTAGTGAATGGAGAGGCGGACTTTGTCCTTGTCTGGTAAAGATGGCATGCCTTCCCATAAGTTTTCCGATCGCACACAAGTACACGCACCAAACAAAAAAACAAACAAAAAAATAAATAAATAAATAAGGGAAAGAAAACATATACCTGGTCAGTTTAAGATAGGCCATTCCATAAAACACCTCATAGGCTAGGCTGTTGCATAAAATAATAAAGTAGTTGTAACTTATAAGTGAAATTTTATTTTCTTTCCCCTCTGTGTTTCAATAACGCATTATAATCTTTACACCATATTAAAGACACGGCTGTCAGTAAAGGTTGTCGAGAGTTTTTGTCAAGTTTAAAGGTGTGCTTGTGCATAATAGGTGCATGTTTTAATGCCTGCATGTGTGTGAGCACACATTTCTTTATGTCTTTGTTTATTTTGGAGATAATACAAAATAAGAATACAACAGAAAGACATAAAACTTTACAAATGACGTGTCCACTTTTGTAGACTCAGTAGTGTCATATTGATAAAATAGCCTGAGCTTTATTGAAATCATTTAAAGAATTACAAATATCGGATATAATAAAATCGCATTAAATAAAAAAACAATATAAAACAAACAAAAGCCATAACAATGCAGGTATATACGATACAAATAAATGAAAACATTTCAAGCCATTTTAAACCTTTACTTTACAAAAGCCTATCTGAAAAAAAAAAAAAAAGAATTTAGAAACTGGAGTAGTTTTGAAATATTATTTATAAAATATTTGGATACTATGATATTAATCAAATCGTGCAAAATGAGCATTTTTTGGGTGAGTGAATGCAGAAACTACCTTCTCTTCTGTCATCCAGTCCTGCGCAGCGCCGCTTTACAAACGCATCGGGGAAAACTGCAAAAAACTAAATGTGTTCTGTGTCCTCAAACAAGTGTTTATGTTTTATATGATGTGGTAAAAGGTGAAAATAAAATTTTAAATGCAGAGCTTTATTAGTGGATAGCTACTGAGCGCAACAAAATATAGGATATAGCCTATATTTTATTACTTGCTCTTATGTCCTGAAACACTGTAAAAGTTAGAAGCTATACTCTTATTGTGACTTAATAATCAAGGTGACTTTAAATTGAAAAACTTTTTGGTAATTTTTGAGTGAGATGCTATCTGTATTTTAGTTTTACATCTATACATATTTATTTCCTTTTCTTATATTTTTAGTACAAGTTTTATTTTATTTTATTAAATATTTTATTTCATTGTAAAGCACTTTGGATCAACTATGGTTGTATAAAATTGTGCTCTATAAGTAAAGGCCTTGCCTTGCCTTGCCTGCTGAGAGTGCAAGCAGCTATGGACACTGGCCCTCGCAGCCAAAAAATGGACCAGCTCACCGCGAATTCTCCCGGTCCTCCCAATTAGCCAATCTGGGCCTGCATGTATATTTGAGTATGCATATATTCACGTATGTTATTATTTCTATGATTTTCATGTTATGATTTCCCTGTTACAGTCTTTATCTAAAAATAAAGGTATTGAAATTATTGATGATATTTATTTATTCATCCATGTTAAATTTATTTATTTATTTTCTTTTCGCCTTAGTCCCTTTATTATACTGGGGTCGCCACAGTGGAATGAACCGCCAACGTACATGCCTTACGCAGCGGATGCCCTTCCAGCTGCAACCCATCTCTGAGAATCATCCATACACACTCATTGACACTCTTACACTACGGACAGTTTAGCCTACCCAATTCACCTGTACCGCATGTCTTTGGACTGTAAGGGAAACCAGAGCACCCGGACGAAACCCATGCGATTGCGGGGAGAACATGCAAACTCCACACAGAAACGCCAACTGACTCAGCCAAGGCTCGAATCAGCAACCTTCTTGCTGTGAGGCGACAGCACTACCTACTGCGCCACTGAGTCGCAATGGTCTAATGTGATTTAATTATCTATGTCAATATAAGCTGAAAGTGCTCCTGCCAGACTCAGAGTTTGTCTAAATGGATTCAGCAATGGTAAAACTCAACTCTTTAAATCTTTAAGTTGTAAAATGTGCCTATTTTCTAATAAAAAGTGGAGTGTTCCCTTAATAAAATGAGCTGTTTATTAAAAGAAGATTATGAAGTCCTGTAAATATCACAATACCATGCGCATCAGGGGCTGGTAATGTTGTTAAGGCATGTTTTTAATGAGGCTTACTTACAGTTGACTCAGAGCTGAGTGTATTTAGCCTTTATTTCTGCTGTTTTGCAGGATCCTTTGGTCTTTGAATCGAACTGTTTCTTCAAAGTAGACGAGTCTGGATTCTTCCTGACATGGAAAAGCGAAGGAAAGGTATGACTTGAGAAGGACAGTCATGTAAAAAGTTTGAACACCCTATCCTATTTTTCTATATCAGAATTTCTGGAGAAAATCGTATTTGTTTTATTTAGGCTAGAATAAAAGTTGTATTTTTTTAAATCATTTTAAGGTCAATATTATTAGCCCCCTTATATAATGACTTGCCTAATTACCCTAGCTTACCTAATTAACCTAGTTAAGCCTTTAAAAGTCATTTCAAGCTGAATACTAGTATCTTAAAAAATATTCAGTCAAATATTATGTGCTCTCATCATGTCAAAGATAAAATAAATCAGTTATTAGTAATGAGTTATTAAAACTAATATGTTTAGAAATGTGAAGAAATTTTCTCTCCGTTAAACAGAAATTGGGGAAAAAATAAACAAGCGGGCTAATAATTCAGGGGGGCTAATAATTCTGACTTCAACTGTATATATATATATATATCTATATATATATATATATATATATATATATATATATATATATATATATATATATATATATATATATATATATATATATATATATATATATATATATATATATATATATATATATATATATATATATATATATATATATATATATATATATATATATATATATATATATATATATATATATATATATATATATATATATATATATATATATATATATATATATATATAT